TACTAAATCCATGACACCTGTGTTTGAAGTATTTTTCAGTTTTAAGGAAAGGAGTCAATGTTTCTGAATTATACAACATGGTTTTGGTTGCACTGAATAACTCATTTTTTTCTGACTCTACAAAACGAACAATGCATGCATTAGAAGGGTGTAACAGGAGGGATGGCAGGGTCGCCGTGCTAGCCCTTGCCGCCTCCTCTACTGTGCCAAGCTTCAGATTTGCACCCTCCTATTCTCGCCTGCCACGACTTTGATGATAAGTGTTTTTGTAGGGAGGCTACCTCCCTAGTGTCTAGGCCTTGCGGGCCTTCTCTATACGCCACCCTTCTCACTAGGCCTTCTCTGTACGACTGCCCTTCTCACTAGGGCTCTTCCCTTCTGCAAGGTTGCCCTCCTCACCGGGCTCTTCCCTCTGCAAGGTTGCCCTCCTCACCGGGCTCTTCCCTCTGCAAGGTTGCCCTCCTCACCGGGCTCTTCCCTCTGCAAGGTTGCCCTCCTCACCGGGCTCTTCCCTCTGCAAGGTTGCCCTCCTCACCGGGCTCTTCCCTCTGCAAGGTTGCCCTCCTCACCGGGCTCTTCCTGAGTCCCCTATGAGGCCTCCTCCATCCCCTTATAGCCTCACCCAAACCACCGGTGTAACATCAACACAAACTCAGTGTAATACATAACAACACAAACTCGAGCCTCCTGGCTATAACTCAAACATACGCCCTCAGGCTATAACAACATTGCTCCACTCTGGTCAAGCTGTACTTGCCGTTAGGCTTCTCCTCGCATGCTAACTCCAGGAGCTCCTGCCCCTCTGACTGCTGGCAGGGAACCGCCTCTCATCTCAGCTCTCTCTCCCATAAGAGCCAGGCCTTGCCCCTTATAGCTAGCTGACTGCTGGCAGGTGTGGGTTGTTTGCTGCCTCCCGTTGCCCTGGCAACCAGCACCTGAGGAGCCCTCCGAGCTCTCTCAGTAGCAGGCACCTTAGTGTCCTGCTACAAAGGGAAAAAAATCCAGCTCATTTTCTCTACCTACTTCCTATTGTTCCTACACTTTTCACTGTCAACTGACATCTTTCTTTTGCTTACCCATCTTTTGCTGTCTGTCTCTTTCTTACTTTGAATCTATTCTCCATTGCATCCATTCAAAGTTTCTTGTGTTTGCCTTCAAGGTCCTGCATAATTCTGATTCCTTCTGTTTCTCTGTTCTTGTCTTTTTCATGGCACCACACATCTTTTCAATGCTACTGAAGTTACCAGTCCCAAAATGTTTGTCTGTTTCTTCCATATATACCTTCATGCCTTCTCAGTGTCCCTGTTCATGCAGGCTCTTCTATAAAGGCTACTACTTTCTCTGTATTCAAATTTCTCCTGTGAATCTGCTTCTGCCATTACTCTTACAGGTATTGGCAGACTTGACAAATAATTAGAATAAAGTCTGTAGATCCCCCCCAAAACTGAATATCCACTCATATATTAGAACCCTACTAATTACCAAAACTGGCTAATCTCCAAAGTGGTCATTTGTCTGCTGTTTCTAACTACTCTCTACTTGTTAATCCTATAAACCCTGTTCTAAAATTCATTATACATGACAAGACCACTGTGTCCACACAGAATCCTTTAGCTGGGCCCATGTGGATTCAGCAATGCACTCACATACTACCAATGACAGGATTGGATCCTAAGACAGAAAGATCTTTGGGCCAGGACCAGGGAAGGCACCTAGGAATATGCTTTCTAGTCAGATCATTCAAGGTTTAGTTACAGTCTCATAAGAAAATACTATGGTAGCATGCACATTTAGTTTTAATCAATATTTGGAAACAATGCTTACTATTTTTAAATATGTTTGGGCTCTGATCAAAAACTACAAATATAAAATGTGAAAAACTAATTAATAAAAGCAGTGTCTACAAAACAGCAGCTTTCTGGTTTTAATTACCTCTTCACTTTATTTCTGGTACTTGTGATATGTGATATATATAAAGTAACCTACACCCACTCCTGTAATGATACTCCTTATGGCTGCCCTGGCAATGTCAACAACAATACCGTATGATAATTATCAACTAGGGCTGTATGAAGCTTCGGTAGCCAATTCGATTCAGAGGAGATTTGGCCCAATTCGGCAACCGAAGCTCCAAATCCAAATCAAATTGGGAGACCAGTTAAAAGATCCGAATTGAACCGGAAGCCTCCAGATTGATTCAGAAAAGATTCGTCCCAATTCAGAGATTTGGCCACAGATTAAACAGGCAGCAGTCCTGACCACACTGGACACAGCTGCCTCCAGCTGGTAAGTCTGTTGTGGCGGGTGGAGGGGGGAGGGAAGGCGCACGTGGGAGGGAGGGATTGGGGCTGGGACAAGCTGCCCAGCTGGGGTGAGGGGCATGG